TAGATATTATCGACCTAGTTCTGTGTAGTGTTATCCAGTGAGACCAATGTAACTTTGTGTATGCGTTTGTTGAAGAATGTAGTTATTGAATATACATAAGTTTGCATTTTCATTCTTTTCTCCCAGTCAGTCCATGTTGTTCCATGATGTCTTCATGCCCAGTATTGTCCATTCCGACTTTGGAGTTTAGGTCTTTTATCAGTATGATCAAGTCCTTTCTTGAGCACTTTACAATGATTGATTGTATCATCTCATAAAACTGAGCGTTATGGTCGTTGTTGCTATCATTGGTGTGTGCATAACAATGGATAACATTCATTGTGATTACTTTCTCCTTTGTTTTGAAGGATGGTCTCCCACATTGTTCAAACATTCCATCTACTTATATTAATTGTTGTTCTAATTTTTAGAATCGCAGTCGGCCTCGTGACTACGAAAGAGTCTTGGCTGACTTTATCCCCCCCCCCAAGAAATAGTATTGGATTCTCATATCCCCAAGTTACAATTAATACGACCCTGTTTAAAACATATTTCTCTCATTGAATAGAGAATCCACTAAGAAAATCAGTAACTGTCAAAATTACATTAGGTTTTCAACAATCAGGTGATTCACCCAACATATTTCCCTGATTTTTGTAAGGAATTTCATCAAAAATCTGTGAGTTATTAAGATAACCCATATCTGGTAAGGTGATTAGAGAATCCCTATAATCAGATTCATCAAAAACTTTTATCGCAGAATGATGTAACTGTATTAATTATACTGCTCGATTTATTTTCTGTTTTGTTCGTGCGCGGGTACTGCAACAATTTCATGAGCATTTAACAAGATATCATCTTTCTGTGAGCAGGACTTGTATGAATATGTATGCTTGAGCACTGATTATTGCTTATGCACATATCTATTCTGCTAGCCTTACTGTTACTCGCTTAATTGATTCGATGATTCACTCATTTCCCTATGTATATGTATATATATACATCTTAATCCTATTCATTTCGACTCGTGAACTTGCACACTCACTCTCTTGTTTTCTTTTTGGCATTAGCCTTTCATTCTTGTTCCGCGTATTTGTGGGTTTGATGATCTGTGCGTCGTGCAATAATAAACGTGATCAACACTTCGTACTCGTCTTCTGATTTATTATCTAGTACTGGTTATCAGGACGAACTATTTACGAAGTTTAAGGATTATTATCGAATATTGACCACTATGAATTACATCAATGGAAGTTTATAAAATTCTGTCTTGAATATTAACAACGTGATAATACAACATATAGTACTTACTAATTCAATGACTTAATTGTATCTATATATGTCTATGTCTTATTATTATTATTATCATCAGCTTTATTCAATATTATATTTTTGGTACAATATAAAATTCTCAGCGTAAAATATTTCAACAAGTTTTCGTTTCTTTCTTCTTGGTCGGTTCTGGCGATAAATATTGAGTGATCGCCAGTTACATGTTAGCAGTTCAGTAAATGAACATCAGAATAATGTGCATTCTTTTCGTTGTATATTGCCAGCAACCACATTATCTCTTATTGAGTTTTTTGTAACTTTGACAACGAAAGGTTGTACACTTTTCAGAAACGCAGCAGAATAGGTTATGTGATTAATAGACATAACGATACATTAAAACAAACAAAAATAGATAACTTGTTGAAATATGTAGATGGCAGGAACAGGTAGCCCAAATGCTCAAGCAGGCCGCTCTTTATGTATAGTCTTACTTTCATAATTTTCATTGTTAATCAACTTTACAAAAGTTCTGTATAATGTTCAACCTTTGATCGGAGTATAAGGAATAAAGAAACAGTTTGTCTTCTGTAAATGTTTTCAATTTTCTAACATAAAAAATAAAACTGATCTATATTAATGACAAGGATATTTCTTAAGTTCATTCGTCCAGACTACAATTTATGAATAAATCTATCAGATTTAGGATAACAGGCGTGAAGTTCATTCACTCATTTTGGTTAAATATCATTTTGACATTATAACTAATATTAGTTTGTAATTAAAACTATAAACCTAATTCATAACCTTAATCATCAACTGTAAATCATAATTCTAATTCCTCAAACTGATTTATAACTCTCATTTAGCCATAGTAAGTATGTGGACATTCTCAAGGTCAGTCTAGCGTTACTCACAGGTCGTCCATAAATTATAGTCTCATCGTTCATTTACATAAATATTTTTCAGTTTAAGGGTTGTGGAGGTTGTTAAGTTTTTGATCGAGATCATTAACCGATTGATGTTAGACCACCATTGAAAACCTGGAAGCATTGGACGGCCGGTTCGTCCTATTGTGGGACCCCTCAGAAATGCGCATCTACGATCCCACTCACGGGGTTCGAACTTAGGGCCTTCAGTCTCGCGCGTGAACGCTTAACCTATTGAATCACTTATCTGTCTGGCACCCAATGTTGTTAGTGTCTAACCTCAACCAATCCACGAAGTTGCACGACCATCTTCTATTGTACGGAAGTAGATACCTGTTTCTACCCGATACGGATTAGCTCCACTGGTGGCCTAACATCAATCGGTTCATCATCTCAATCATAAATATTTTTAGTAGATTGTGTTATTAGCGAGTTACAATATCGGACAGTCAAATGAAGCTTCCATATAGTTCATCTACATATCAAATTAATAAATTCCTGAGCAAGAAATAATAATTTTTAAAAAAATATTTAAGTATTTACAGCATACTTAGTTTTAAAATTCCTTCAGGTTAAAATGCCAGCCTTCATAGTTGTTATATGAAATGTGAGAGCAGAAACATGATTGACTGAATTACCCGTTTCATCATTTAGAAGATAATTATAGTTTCTTTTAAAAAGTGAGTTTTAACATGAAGATTTAGTGGGGTTATAATTTATAGACGACCCTGAGCGATGCTAGACTGACCTTGAGAGTACCCATTTAATAACTAAAACAAAATGAAGGTTATAAACCTGTGTGAAGAATCAGAATCATGATATAAAGTTGATGATTAAGGTTAAAAATTAGACTTAGGGTTTTTATCGCAAACTAACATCAGCTTTAATGCCAAAACTCTATTTCGCTAAATGAATGAGTGAATTTCTTGCCAAAATCTGAGACTTATTATCTTATACCTGATTGCTTCATTCATAAAATATAGTCTCGCCGAAGATTTTTATCTGAAATTGACGATTTTGTAACTTCTCTTTAAGCACAACTAATCAGTATTTTATTCATTCACTGAATGTAAGCTATATAATGAAGTAGGGTATTGTAGTGTTTCAACCATTCCATGGCGTTTTTCACTGACTAAATATTTTCGATGATTATTTCTGTATTAGATTAAATTATGGATTGATTTAACTTAGACATTAATACCGCTGGATACCAGCTCAGTAGTCTAGCGGTTAAGCGCACGGGCACGAGACTTATAGATCCTGGGTTCGAGTATTGCGAGACGAGATCGTGGATGCGCATTGTTGATGAGTCCCTTACTAGGACGAAACAGCGATCCAGTGCTTCCAGGTTTGATCTAGTTTCAACTGACTCATGAATTGAACTACTAAATTACTATAATATCTACAAAACCTCTCTCCAATTAATTTATAACTCAAACAATCGTAATCAATAAGGTATCATTTGATTGAAGGTAATTAAAAATATTATGTGGGTAATTTAGCTTTCGTACCAGTTGAAACTTTTCAATAAAGCTTATGTGAAATATTGAAGGAATGTATGATTCCCTTCAGAATCACACTTCAGTCAGATTGCGTCACATTGCATTATTGAACGTTTACGGAATAAAACAATAACTATGCATGGATGGTACTGAGAAGATAGTCAATATCATACTTAATTAAACTGTAAAATTGTACATGAAGGACAGCTCACAGACTCGTTCGAAGTGAAGACCGGCGTCGGGAATGCTTACTCTCAATCTTTTTCTTCTGGTGATCGAATGGATCATCAGGGCATAAACATCTGGGAGGAAGCATGGGATATAATCGACAGCTTGTATGAAGCTGGACGATCTAAACTTCCCAGATGCTCTGGCTCTTCTATTGCACACGCAACAACAAATGCAGGAGAAGACGACCAGTGTAGCAGCAGTAGATCTCAATATACACAAAGGGAAAAACAAGATTCGCCGACATAACACAGCATGCACCAATCCAATCACACCTGACGGGGAAGATTTGGAAGATGTAAAAACCTTTACATATTTGGGCAGTATCCTTGATGAACACGGTGGATCTGATGCAGATATGAAGGCGTGGATCGGCAAAGTAAGATTAGCATATTTAGAACTGAAGAACACCTGCAACTCAAAACAACTATCAACCAATACCACGGTCAGAATTTTCAATATAAATGTCAAGACAGTTCTACTGTATGAGGCGGAAACTTGGAGAACAACGAAAACCATCATCCAGAAGATACAAGTGTTTATTAACAGCTGTTTACGCGAAATTCTTCGCATCTGTTTGCTAGACACTATTAGCAACAGCCTACTATGAGAGAGAACAAACCACATTCCAGCGGAGGAAGAAATCAGGAAGAAGTGCCAGGAAGTGAATAGGACACACATTGAGGAAAGCACCTGACTGCGTCACAAGACAAGCCTTCACATGGAATCCTCAAGGCCAAAGGAGGAGGAGGAGGAGAGGAAGACCAAAGAACATATTACATCCAGAAATGGAAACAAACATGAGAAGAATGAACAATAATTAGATAGAACTAGAAAGGAAAGCCCATGGGACAGAGTGGTTTGGAGAATGCTGGTCGACGACCTATGCTGCAATTGGGATTAACAGGCGTAAGTAAGTAAAGTAATAGATGAAAACAATTTTGTTTACTTCCAATAAGTTTATTAATGTAAACATTATAATATTGTTCATAAAATTTAAAGATTAATTTCTTATTTTGTTTGTATTAACTGTTCTTTCTTTTTTTTTTTTACAACAATAATCATAATACTTATAGTTTAACATTTGTATATTCTATTTGAAATAAGATAAACTTGCACGCTTTTCTGATTCCAAATTATGATCATCATCATTATTATGATTATGTTTACTGATTAATAGATTTTCTTCAAGCCAATGTAAATAATCTTTATTTAAACATGGACAAATTTCAGCAATTTGTCTTATATGATTTATTCCTTTTGGTTGTTGATCATATTGACCACGTTTATAATAATATAAAGTTGCACGTTTAGATGGTAAATCAGATGTTGAATCGGATATTTCACTTTGTCGTTTGAAATATGCTAAACTTGCACGTTTATCATATGTATCTGTATTCTAAGGAAAATATAAATTATCAGTATAGAAGTTGTGGAGATTGTTAAGGTTTTAATTGAGATCATGAACTGATTGATGTTGAACCACCTATGGAAACCCGGAAACACTGGACAGTTGTTTCGTCCTATTCTGGGACTCCTCAGAAATGCTCATCCACGATCATACTCGCGGGATTCGAATCCAGGGCTTTCAGTCTCTCTGGCGAACGCTTAACCTACTGGACCACTGATCTTGCTTGTATCTAATGGTGTTAATGTCTAACCTCAACCAATCCATGAAGTTTCACAATAGGGACGAAATGGCCGTTCGCTGCTTCCAGGATTCCAACGATGGTCTATCATCAATCAGTTCATGATCTCAATCAAAGACAATTTAAAATTAGAAATTTAATTTACTTTCAATGCAAATAATAGGATTGTGTTATATAAAAATCTTCGACTAAGGGATGATTGGTCAAAGTTCATAAAATTATGATTTTACTACGGTGTATCATCACTTCATTCAGCGTTAATTGATTTATTTCTTTTCAGTAGTCATCTTGTTTATTCTCATCATTTGTTACCGTTGAAACCGTCTTCTAATATAATATAATGATCAATTTTTTTAAAGAGATAAGTTTTCTAGTTTGCAAAAAGCACACTTGATTACCAGGTGAACTAAAAAATCCTAATAAATCTGTAATACCATAGTGATAGCTAAATTTCACTAAGTCGATGAAAATAGTCAGCGGTGAGATATGACCATTGTCATATCATGTAGTAATACAATAATTATGGAAACACCAGTATATTTAAGTCTGTAAACTACAATATGATATTAATATTTACCAGGAGAAGTTGAGGATAATTAGATCTTAGAGGTAATACTTTCTGAGAATGGTTGGAAACTCAATAATTAATTAGACAGATAATTGAACAGAGCTACTGATGTTAACTAATTGGAATAGTGATCTAGTGGCCCGATAAGTGACTCCATTTGGATCATAGGAATATTATTGAAATATACATGTCGTCTATCCTGGTATATGATTATCAATTTAATCAGCGTTAGTCAATGACGGAATTAAATAATTCATATACGAGAATGAATTTTGTATACGTATATTTCATACAATCGTTGATCCAGACAAACGAGCGGAAAAACAAAGCGAAGAGAAAACAGTGAAGCAAAATGACACGCAGTGGAGAAGGCGTGTGAGACAACTCCATTTAATCAATAGTTAAACAATTTTTATAGTCAAACAAAAATAAGTTACTGACATGTGATGAATAGGATAAGAAATACACAGAAATACGCGTACATAAAAACAGTCAGGGTTGATAAGCCAATCATTAACAAGATCAAAATATTACTCAAGAAAAATGAATAAATGGGGCTTGTCCGGAAGCTAGACTAAGCTATATGGGGTATAACATAATAACTGACACTACAGGGCGTAGTACTTTCGTGATTTACAAAGGGTTCATCAACACTTTATTTGATGCATGATTTGTTTATGTTTTATTTCAGTGTGATTTGCAAATTCTTGAATATTGGATTTAGGTATCATACTGATTACTTTACTTAAGTATACAAATTATGACTAACCTTGCACAAAGGGTCATTGGGCAACATGGTTGTTTACAATTTTCATTGGCTCACAGACAGCACTCAAGAAAATAATCTCCACTACTAATGAAATATCAGGTTAACTTATAACTGATTGTTCTGTACCATTCATAGGGTCCTAGCCTGAAAGTTTGTATAGAGTATACTGATCTATCGTTTCAAATGTAAGCGTACGGGCTATAACTGAAGAAAGTACTTACTGTTTATCTAGATCAATATTATATTCAGTACTTAATTATGAAAGGCTGATTGGGTTAATACATTTTAATTTATGATTTTTTCTACATAAAATTGAAGATCAGTTCTCTAACCACGGTTTCTAGTCATCTGAAAAAGGGTTATATATCATAATGGTAAATAATATTGACCGTATTTCACAATTTCAGCCAATTACCATCAGCAACCAAGATGATAACATAAATGATAACTAGTGTGAAACAAAACCATTAATAATAATAAAGTAATAAATTATAGTTGTATAAACCAGTGTATGAATGGTTTAGCCATTATTTAATGTGGTCCCATAACTCTGATTTTAACAATGTTTTGGTATCTAAACTAACATCTATCAGAGCTATGTATTGATAATGGTATCCAAGAAGACAATGAAATATTGGCATCACATTATTCAAAAGATATAAAATCATCACCGGTATTCATCTAAGCATTAAAATTTCACTACCATTTCAAAATGCTTAATCATATTTATCTTATTCTTTTTCAAAAAAGAAAGGAACCTCTCATGTAGTCAAAAACAAACTTCGTTTCCATTAAAATTTTTATAACCGAAAAAATATCAGAATATTATAGTAATTTTATTAGTTGAGATCATGATTCAATTAAATCTAGTTGAAGTTAGATATTAACACTATTAGATGCCAGTTCAGGGGTCTAGAGGTTAAGCGTTCGTGTGCGAGACCAATAGATCCTGTGTTCGAACTCTGCCACTGAACCTGTATCCAACGGTGTTAATGCATAACTTCAACTAATTCATGAAGTTGCGCCGCCGTTCACCAGTGTTCATGCGCGAGACCTATAAATTCTAGGTTCGAATCCCACGAGATGGCATCGTAGATGAGCACGGTTGAGGAGTTCCACAATAGAACGAAACGGTCATCCAGCACTTCCAGGTTTTCCATAGTGATCTAGTTTCAATGGATTCATGATTTCAACGATAAAAACAAGGTTTTTTTTTAAGAAAAAAAGTGTTTTTAATCATAAATATTCCGGTATATGATATTAATCTCACTAACCACAATTTAATTATTATCTAATTAACATAAATCAAATAAGAATATCAACAAATGAATAATAAAATACTTCCGGAAAATGGATTATTTATAACTACCTAGTAACTGATATTTTTTTCTACAGAAGGGAGGGGAGGAGAGGGTTAAGAATATTGACATTATCATTTATCATTAATTTCAATATCAATATAAATTAGTGATTAGCAAAGTGTTGTTCTATATTAATTATCAATAATATTTCATGTAATTAAACTAACAACAGAAAGATAAGAATAATAATAATAATCAATATGAACATGACAATGAAATAATACCACTTCCTTTATCCTTTTCTTCCCTAATGTAAAAATGTATTTTACAAGCATAATGAATGAATGACATTTTCTTAGATATAGATCCTTCTTATTGAAAGTTAATCAATTGAAGGATATATATCCCTTGAATATTAATTATATTGACTGTTATTAATGATAAGAATAAATTATAATTAATGAATGATTGTTATTAGATGAGATGGGAAAACAAACCATAAAATTTGAAAAGGATTTTATAGAAATATTGGTCATTTGATAGTTAAATTCATGAATCAATGGAAAGTACATCACCATGGAAAACCTGAAAGCATTAGATGGCTGGTTTTCTTTAGTATGAGACTCTTTAACAATACACATTCATGATCCCACCTCGCGGCATTCGAACTCAGGACATACCAGTCTCGAGCGCAAACGCAAACTGAAAAGGCATCCAATAGTGTTAATTTCTAACTTTAATTAATCTATGAAACTGAGTGACACATCCACCATTATCTTCAGTGAGTTAATATCTCACAACAAACCTTACTGAACTCCACTGGTCACGGCTTCTCACTAGAACTCCAGGAAATACCTCTTGAAGTCAGTCACTAGTAAGCATATACTGATTAATATCAGAAGAGTTTTAAAAAGGACGAAACTATCATCCGGTGCTCCCAGTTTTTCCATGGTGATCTAACTGCAATTGACTCATAATCTCAACCATTGAGATTATATAAAACTTAATTGCTAATAAATTCTTAGTCAAATACCGACTACCTTCTGATCTTTTAGCTAGTACGAGTTACTCAACATAGTAAAGGTCGTACAATCTTGAAAGTGGAACAGTTAATTCCATCTAATTACACTATATGACAAACAATACAAAATGAAATTATGAGAGATTTTCATCGTTTTTATTGGGGGGTGGGAGGTGATTTTGTCACCCTTACCGTGAATAAAAGTAAACTTTTTCAAAACTAGTCAATTCGGATGTCAGTCAATCAGTCAGTAACAACGTAGAACTTTGTACGTACGTACATCAGTTCCAGTTGCCATATCACATTAGCACAGAGATACAGTTGTCGATTCAATTCCCATAGTGGTGGAGGTAGTATAAGTATAAGTAATAATCGAAAACATTAGGGTTTGAAGATGTTACAGAATGTCATTTTACTACAACCATAAGCTTTAACATTCCTGATGATTTACTTTTTGTTAGTTTGCTCTTCTTTGGTGTAAGATCTTCATTCGATCATATATATCATTTCAGTAAGGTTACATTTTCATTCCTACTTTTTATACTACTTATGACATAATGATAATACTAAAATATAATTCATATTTCAGGTATTTACACAAAATAATAATGAACAAATCAACTTACAGCACCGTTTATGTTTATTGTTAAAATAACAAAAGTGAATATAAACAATTGAATTAATGATAATTTGTTCATTTCTACTGAAATAGAAAATAAGTAAACATAAAACACAATCAACAAATGAACATGATAATATTATGAATGATTGTAATATTATGGTAAATAACAGAAAGAAAAAACAAACGTTTAAGATATTTCTTCTTTTTACATGATGAATCAAAACATGAGTTTGATTATGAATAATATAAATGAAGTCATGGTTTCTCATCCAATGCTCACAGACTTATCCATTATTGAGTGAATACATAACATTAGGAAATAGACATTGGTAACTAAGAAAATGGAAATGATAATGATTATCAGTAATTGTATGTTGATATGTTTTTTGATCTTCTGAAGACAAATACAGAAAAGATAAAATGTATAAAACTGTTTTTTTAAACAATGATGGATAGTGGCTAGCAGTGGAATCCAGGACACGAGTTTCGTCCTATTTGGGACTCGTCAGTTGGATGTACCTGCATCTTAGGGTTGATGTTCACTCCGAGTGATTTGAAATTCACCCCATTGCACAAGAAAGTGGTTATCAGGACTCAGTAGCTAAGTGGATAACGAGTTGGTGTTTGAAGCGAATGGTTCTGGGTTCGAGTCCCAGAGTGAACATCAACTCTGAGATGCAGGTACATCCAGTTGACGAGTCCCAAATAGGACGAAGCGTGCGCCCTGGATTCCACTGCTAGCCACTATCCATCATTGCTTACAACCAGCTTGTGAATTAAGGCAATATCAAAGCATACGCACAGTATACACATATACCGATAACAGACTGATCAATTGCAATCTTAGACCTCAATGGGAAGATACAAGCCGAATAATACCAAGTGAATTGTATAAAACTGTATTTATCCTGCATTATGTGATATTTAAATATGAATATGGCTGTAGGTAGCCGACGAGAAACTGAAATGTAAAAGCGATTTCATATTGTTCTGCAGCATTTGTTTATCATGGAAGTTTAGTATATAAAACAGATTATATCCATAAACCTAAAAGACAGTTGAACTAAGACTCTAACAAATCAATATTTCTTATATCTTACTGACTTACTTACACCTATTATCACTCGTGAAGGAGTATAGGCCATACACGAACAATCTCTATCCGACTTCATCCTGAGAAATCTTTTCCAGTTCCTATTCATTCTTTTGACCTCTCCGTCCAAATCTCAGCTCAGTGTGTTTTTTGATCTTCCTCTTTTGCGTTTCCCTTCAGGATTCTAAGTTAGGGCTTGCCTCGTGATACAGTTTGATGATTTCTAAAATGTGTGTTCTATCCATTTCTAACGTCTTTTCTTAATTTCCTCATCATCTGGAAGCTGATTTGTTCTCCTCCATAGTAGGCTGTTGTTGATGGTATCCGGCCAACGAACATTGAATATTTTGTGCAGACAATTGTTGATAAATACCTGTACATGTTTAATGATTTTTGTGGTAGTTGTCTAAGTTCCATCTCCGTACAGTGGAACTATCTTGACGTTCGTATTGAAGATTCCGATTTTGATGTTAGCTTGCATACGGTTGTTTTAAGTCCCATATATTATTCAATTGTAAAAATACGGTCCTTGCCTTGCCAATCCTCGCCTTTACATCTCCATCGGATCCTCCACTTTCATCGACGGTGCTTCCCAGATTTCACATATTCCAGAGCTTTTTCATCAATTGTGATTGGGTTGGTATTCACTGTGTTGTATTTGAGGATCTTGCATTTTCCTTGTGTACCTTGAGGCTTACTGATGCAGAGGCTGTTGCTACAGTAGTTTGTCTTGACCTGCATTTGTTGATGTGTATGAGATAGAAGGGATAGGTTATCTGTGAAGTCCGAATCGTCTAGTTGTATTCCGTGCTTCCTCTCAGATGTGATTTCTTATATCCATTAGCTAGATATTGACACAAATTTCTTGAAAATCATTATGACATATTTTCTAGTCTGTTCTAAACTGAACAGTAACCACAAAACAGTTTATGAAGTTATGTTTACCGGATATCACTTCTGACAGGAAGAAGAATTTTTAGTATAATAATGACTTGAGATTAGTGCATTTGAATAATGTCTCTACTTTCATTACTTAAACTTGTGTTATTAATTATGTTACATATACAACTATGTAACCTAGTGAAGTAATTCATTTTAAACAACACAGCGACCACGTAATTATAAGGAGTACTGGTTTTCGGTTGCATACTAAATGTAAAGTAAGAAATACCTTTTTTGACCACTATTAGTAGGTGAAAGTGATCTTCTTTAAAAAGTGATTTCAATTACATTACAATTGAAAACCATTGATCACACAACAGCCATATTTTTCTAAGTACAGCACATCTGCAGACCGACCAAGGATCAAAAGCGGAAGATTTAGATTTTGCGGCAATTGCTTAACCACTATCATTATTGTTCATATGTTCCCGTTTGTCAAGCTTGACTGACTTTATATTCCTTCACAAATACTTTAAAATGTTAATATTTGTCCCAATCGCTAAAAATGTATTGCGCTAATTCATCACTTAATTCTTACAAACATTCATTTATCACACTAGATAGGTTTGTCAAATGTTTACAAACAACCATCTTCAGATAAAAGAGTTTCATTACAAATGATTCAAACACAACTGTAATTACAACACTTCAAATACAAATCCAAACGGATGGTATTCTCTGTCTATTTCTCCTAATTTTGGGAATTCACTTCAAACAACGTTTTCAAATTGGAGCATTTATACTACACTAAACAATCGCTTATTTTAAAAAATATTGTAAGATGTTGGAAGAGATGTGAGAAATAACTTAAAATCTAATTTTAAATATTTTTTGGATTCTGTATAATACTAAATTCTCCAGTTTCAATCTTGTGACAGAATTTAATATGACTTCATTACAGCCTTCGAATTGTTACACAACGATTCAAGGGTCTCCATCCTTTATTTCTGTTCATATTTAAAAATGAATGCAAAGTTATATAAAAGCTCACAAATATTTCGGTTCACAGTCAAACGTGAAGGCTTAAACCAAGCACACCTCATCGGTTTCTATGCTGACATCTTACTTCATAATCAATTAAATGGTCTAATATTAGGAATCTTATAAATTTCATCTGTACCATCATAATTTTTATGTTTGAAAAGTGTACCAATCATCTTGATTAAGTAAAGGCAAACACTTAAGAACTAATCTTTTTGAAGACTTATGAGTGTTCATGTAAATCTTAAGACATCTTATCTTCTTTTATTTTTCACTTCATCCCAATCATTAAAAGGAATCACTATACAGTTTTTCTATTATGATAAACAACACTTTTAGTCTAAGCATTCTATAGAAAGTTCTACATCTTGAAATCTATCCATCAATTGGTTCATGATCTCAATCAAAAACTTAATAATCTACACAACTCCTATACTAGTAATCAACATGTGCTCACTAGTGACTAGCTTCGTGAGGGAATTCTCGGAGTTCTAGTGAGAAGCCGTGACCAGTGGAGCTAATCCTTGTCGGGTAGAGACAGTTATCTTCCTCAGTACAATGGAAGTTGGTCGCGCAATTTCGTGGATTGGTTGATGTTAGAAAATATCACCATTGGGTGCCGGCTCAGTGGTCCAGTTGGTTAAGCGTTCGCGCGCGAGACCGAAGGCCCTGTGTTCGAATCCCGCTCTCAGGATCGTGGATGCGCACTGCTGAGGAGTCCCACAATAGGACGAAACGGCCGTCCAGTGCTTCCAGGTTTTCAATTGTGATGGTCTAACATCAATCGGTTCATGATCTCAATCAAAAACACAAAAATTTACTACTAACATTAATTTAAGTGGTTTCATTTAGAATTTTGAATGATGTCAGCTACCGAATCACATTGATGATGTTAATCGATGATTACAACATTAAAAACTGATCGAAATTCAGTCAGATGATCAGAAACAGGATAATCTAATATGTTGTAAATTTAACTAAAATTCATAGATATTATACATTTAGTAGCTAGGCGTACATGATGAAGCTTAAAGCGAACGGTACTACGCTCAAGTCCCAGAGTGAACTTTAACTCAGATGAAGGTATATCCAAATGACAAATCATGAATAGGATGGAACGCACGTCCTAGACTCTACTGGCAATTACATTACATTGTATTCTATATTATAATTAGATGCTATATTAATCAAATCTTTGAAATTATTTTTATGCATTGAAATGAAAAGCATTACATTTTAGAATGTGCCAGAAGAGACTGACTTAAAAAATAAAGAGAAGAAAGTAATCAATGTGCAACTGGAGAACACTCAGACTTATACAAGTTGCTATGAAATGAAAGTAATGCTTAAGTAAATCAACTTAAGTGTGAAAAATAATTATAATTCTTCAATCATACTACTATAATTGTTCCACATTATTTTGTATTCTACGTTATGAACTGACTTTGCTCACATGACTGTTGTAAGCCAAAAAATACTGTATGACTTTTGCATGCCAATGAAAGACTCCCCTTCAGTGCACATGTATGACACATACATAAATCTAACTTAAATCCCTCAAGTTATGAGGTGAACAAATCATTTTTGAACCAATAATCCAGGATTCAGTGTTTCTTATTCCTAAACCCATGTTATACATGATTTTCAAACTTGAACATCGATTATGTTAATTTTTGACAAGATTACTTAGCAACCATTTTCAATGGAATTCAGCGTGAAATAATTATTCATTAAAAAATGTTAGTTTAAATTTGAATCCAAGTAGAAAAATTACTACAATTTTATTGCTAGTTTAATGTAAACACTTCAACTATTCTTCATATTGACCTGTCGTTTGCTATACAAAAATCCTACGAAAGCGAAGAATCATTCTAAAAATTAAAGTATTGTGTTAATGGATAGAATAATTATGACTTCTATCCTAAATATACTGATTGAGAGATGAAGTTCTTATCATGTCAAGTATGTTGAATTATTCAATTTGAAAATCTAGACAACTGAAATCTCCACTAATTAAGCTATGACTTTTGAAACTTTGTGTAATTATGAAAGTTTACATT